ATTGAGATGTCTAGGGGATTAGTCGGTAGAACATGAAACTCCCGATCTCAGGGTCATGAGTTCGAGCCCCACATTGGGTGTAGAGCTTACTTTAAAACCTTAAAAAAAATAAAAATAAAAAGTCGAGCAGTCTAACATAAAAATTGGGATTTCCATCTTCTCCTGAGAAATCGCCAGATCTGGCAACACAGGGCCCACATGCCTACAGGGCACCCATCCAGGAAAGCTGAGCAGCCCTTCACACGGGGCTACAGAGCCCCAGGCCACAGGCCTCACCACTTTCCACTGTCTCCCAGACACCGAGGCTGAGGACAACTGCCAGTTAGGACAACAGTGTTATTACTTGGTTCTTACCCCAGGCTTTGCTTCACCCACCTATGTTACCTCAGGGTCCCCGTGACACGGGAATAAGGCCCAGCCACTGTCCAAGGAGAAGGTGCCCTGATAAGATCTTAGTCCCCTTCCTTGACTTATTCACTTACACTTTCTGCCTGGAATACCCTTCCCTCCACTTCCCTGCCTGAGAAATACCTCATCCGTTTGCCTGTCACCTCCTCTGTGAAACTCTCCCTAAAGATTCCAGGCACAGTCAGTCCCTCGCTCCACTGGGCACTGTGCCCCCTGAATGCTGTATTTTAGTTGTCCCTCACACTAGAGCAAGAGCTCTTTAAGCCAGAGTCTGCAGCCTCTTACCTCTTACCCTGGTGCCCAGGACCCTACATAGAATGCTCCTTGGCTCATAGAGGTCACTCTGTGGAAAAGTTTGAACGTGAGCCGAAGTGATAGGTCTACACTGGGGTGGACATGAAAATAGAAAACCACAGAGGCTGAAGCACTTTGGGTGGAGAAGTGCAAGATTTGGTAAAAGCATTTTAAACAAGCCATTCCAGGTGATTCTGATGCAAGTGGTTCATAGACCACTTTTTGAAAACACTGTTTTAAGATTTTGAGTTTATGTATGTAAGGTAACCATGGCCAGAAATAGACGTCTCTGGAGGGGTGTACCGGCTTTTGGAGCAAGCTAAAGAATTTGGTTTTAGACATGTTGAGCTCGAGATGACAGTGGAAGAGCCAAGTAGAGGGTATCCATCATTGACTGGAGAGAAGACACTGAGGCTCCCATTGGAGACCTCAGAGGATGCTGCTGACTTAGGTACCACCTGAAAGCTCCTTCGGGCAACTCTGAGCGTGATTGGGAAATTGGAGAAAGAAGATATAGATGATGAAGAGTAAAGGGCCTTGGAATATTCCCATGTTTAGGGATGGGCGGAGGAAACAGTGTCAATGACAGGGATCGCCAATCAGAGGCATGTGGAAATATAGACTGGTGTAGGATTTGTGGAAGAAAGGTGGGAAAGAGAAGGGAAGAGGGGAGAAAGAAAAGGGAAGTGGGAAGTGTCATTTATTTATTAAGTATCTATTATATTCCAGGTGCTGAGATGGACACCTGTCCATATTTCCTTGTTTAATTCTAACTGGATTCTCCATTTTTGACCCCCTTCAGAGTAGTCTGCACAGCAGTAGCAATCTTTCCAAAGCACAGCACAGGTCATTTTGCTCTCCTGCTTGAAACTCTTCCTTCATTCTCTGTTGCCATCAGTGTAGCTGAAACCCCTTCATGTACTTCTACAGTTGTTGTTGTTTTTAAATAACTGCTTTATGGAGATTTAACTCGCATACCATAAAATTCGCTTTTTTTTTTTTTTTTTTTTTTTGAGAGAGAGACAGAGAGCACAAGCAAGGGTTGGGGCAGAGGGAGAGGGAGAGAGAAAATCTCAAGCAAGCTCTATGCTCAGCATGGAGCCCAATGCAGGGACTCGATCCCACAACCCTGAGATCATGACCTGAGCTGAAATCAAGTCAGATGCTTAACTGACTGAGCCACCTGGGCGCCCCAAGTTCACATTTTAAAGTACACAATTCAGTAGTTTTTAGTATATTCACAGAGTTGTGCAACCATTACCACAACCAATTTTAGAACATTTTCTTTTCTTTTTTTAAATTTATTTGTCAGAGAGAGAGAGAGCACAAGCAGAGGGAGCAGGCAGAGGGAGAAGCAGGCTCCCCGCTGAGCAAAGAGCCCCATGTGAGACTTGATCCCCAGGGCCCTGGGATCATGGCCGGAGCTGAAGGCAGATGCTTAACTGACTGAGCCACCCAGGCGCCCCGAACTTATAACCTTAAGATCAAGGGTTGCACACTCTACCGACTGAGCTAGCCAGGTGCCCCTAATTTTAGGACATTTTCATCACTGTAAAAGACACCCATACCCATTAGAAGTCATTTTCTTTCTTTTTTTTTAAGATTTATTAATTTGAGGGTCGCCTGGGTGGCTCAGTCGTTGAGTCTACCTTCAGCTCAGGTCATGATCCCAGGGTCCTGGGATTGAGCCCCACATGGGGCTCCCTGCTCCACGGGAAGCCTGCTTCTCCCTCTCCCACTCCCCCTGCTCGTGTTCCCTCTCTCACTGTGTCTCTCTCTGTCAAATAAATAAAATCTTTAAAAAAAAAGAAGACTTATTAATTTGAGAGAGAGAGTGAGAGTGTGTGGGTGGGGGGAGGGGCAGAGGGAAAGGGAGAGGGAAAGAATCCCAAGCAGACTCCCTGCTGAGCAGAGAGCCCAATGTGGGGCTCCATCTCACCACCTTGAGATCATGACCTGAGCCGAAATCAAGCATTGGGCACTTAACCGACTGAGCCACCCAGGGGCCCCTAGAAGTCATTTTCCATTTCCCTTTTCCTTAGCCCTGGCTATTAATCTACTTCGGTTTCTATGGATTTGCTTAGTCTGGACATTTCCTACATATGGAATCCTATGATATGTGGCCTTTTGTGACTGATTTCTTTCATGTAGCATAATGGTTCATAAATGCTGTAGCATATATCAGTACTCCATTCCTTTTTATGGCCAACTACTGTTTCATTGTATGGATATATACTTCATTCTGCATATCCTTTCATCAGTTGGACATGTAGATTGTTTTCACTTTTTGGTCATTATGATACTGCTATGAACATTCGTCTTAGCATGGATGTAAGTTTCATTTTCCTGAGTATAGACCTAGGAGTGGAATTGCTGGATCACACGGTAATCTGTTGAACATTTTGAGGAACTGCTAAACACTTTCTCAAAGTGGCTGTACCGTTTCACAACCCCACCAGCAACGGATGTGGGTCCCAATTTCTCTAAATCCTCACCAACACTTATTTTTCCATGTTTTTTTTTTTTAATTAGGGCCTTCCTAGTGGGTGTTAAGTGGTATCTCATTGTGGTTTTGACTTGCAATACCCTGCATCTTCTAATGTGCTTAGTGGCCATTTGTACATCTTCTTTGGAGAAATCTCTATTCAAATCCTTTGCGCATCTTTAATGGGTTGTGTTTTTATTATTGAGTGTAAGAGTTCTTTATAATATTCTGAATGCCAGTCTCTTATCAGATATATGATTTGCAAATATTTTCTTCCATCCTGTGTGTTGTCATTTCACTGTCTTGATGGTGTCCTGTGAATTACAAAAGTTTTTTATTTTGATAAAGTCCAATTATCTATTCTTTGATTGTTGATATTGGATTGTTGCTGTTGGTATCATATCCCAATATACCGTTGCCTAATCCAAGGTCAGAGTGATTTACGCCTTATATTTTCCTCTAAGATTTTTAGTTTTTGTTCTTACATTTAGGTCTATGATCCATCTGGGGGTCAATTTTTTATATGGTGTGAGGTAGGGGTCTAACTTCATTCTTTTGCATGTAGATATACAGTTGTTCCAACCCCATTTGTTGAAAAGACTATTCTTTCACCCATTGAATTGTCTGTGACCCTTCTCAAGCTGGTCCTCTCTCAGTCCTGTGGCTTCATCTTCTGCTCCATCCCTTCTCCAGCTTGCACTCCATCTCCTGTCCCACTAAATGATTTGTGTTTTCCTAAATGAGCCATGTCCTTTCTCACCTCTGGCCTACTTCTTGGCATGCTGTTTCTTTTACTGGAAAAAGCTCCCCGACCTTCTTCCCACATTACCTGGATATCTTCTCTAATTATCTGTCAGGTCTAGGCTTAGATACCATATTTTCCAAGAGGCCTTTCCTAAGCCCCCAAGAATATTTTAGGAAGAGCAGGTCTGTGCTTCCAAAAGACCATGTACTTAACCCTGACAGGGGCTTTTTTTGTGTGCCTGGCACATAGTAGGCACTCAGTAAGTATCTGAGGAATGAATGAATCCCAGAAGTCAAGGAAGAAGGCTGTTTCAAGAAGGAACGGTAGTTAGTATTGTGTATTGCTGCAGAGCTTAGGGGAATGAGCTCTGAAAAAATGCATCTGGGTTTTGACTATTTTTGTCACTACCAATAGGGAAGAGTTTCAGTAGTATTGTGGATGTAGAAGCCAGTGGGGGAGTTAAGGAGTGAATTGCTGACGAGAAAGTGAAGTTTTAATTACAAACTACTTATGTCCAAGCTTGTTTGTGAGGAAAGGATAAAATAGATGGGCACCATGAAACAGCTTAAAAGGATAGAGTTAAGGGCTTGGTTTTATTGCTATCAGTCCATCTGCCGCTTTCCTGAATTTCAGAGAATTTGACGTCTAATAAGAGTCACTTTCTTGGCTTCTTATATCAATTTTAGGGACACCCCAGGATTTCCCCATTTACCCTCCTACTACCACATTACACTCCCCCCACCTCTGACTATGTGTCAAAATAGGAGTGTGTATATTTACACACTCTGTGCTGATCTCAGCAACCCAAAAATCTAACCATTCTGGGATTGACCAAGGCCTTTCCCCAAGTTGGGCTAAGCTATATCTGCTCCCAGAAAAAGATATCCTATAAGAATCACTTGTCTGGGTAGAAAAAGGAAGGAGCCGGTCTCTTGGCATCATGGTGGCACCAAAGGAACCATAGAGTCTCCTCTCTCTGCCCCTCATTCCCTGGCATCTCCCCTATGTCAGTCAGATAGACTGGAATGGAATGGCTTTAAGACTTTAATTTTTTACACCCTTACTGATTTACCTCCAACTCCGAGCTGCTTCCATATCTTTGGTATTTTGCTCCCAGAGGTAAATATGCCTGATTATAAGACCACCAACCTGATCAGCCTTCACCACCAGCCTTACGCAGCTCACATTGTGCCCCATCCTTTTCAGAAATATCTCCTGATTCATCTGCCCTTCGAAGAGATGGCCCAGCAAGGTGAAGCTGGTACAGTATTGAGGCATTCCCTCAGGGTCGTAGCCCAGTTCCACTTGCCCCTTCTTCAGGGTGTACTTTCCATCCACGATGGTGCCTGTCAATACTTGCACTTTGCTCAAGCTCGCCGGATGGTTCAAAATGACTGTCAGGTGGTTCCCTGCACTAACATTGTGGGTCCAGAAGAATGACTCGTCCAGGGTGTAGGCTTCCCAGGGGAAATGAACATCAAAAACCTTCATATCCGTGAAAATGGCTCCAGGTGGGTTGTCAGGAACATAGGGGTTCTTTTTCTGAACTGGTGTGGCCTTCTGGGTGTCATTAGAGATGTGGTAGGAGAACCTGTGGTAGAAAAGGAAAGGTCTGCAGATGATTGGGTTTTTCTGAGCTAGGAGGGTACGGAAGTGGGGGATCAGCCTGTCAAGGGGCTTCTCCTTGTAGAAAAGAAGTAAGAAATGGGCCAGGAGTGGGAGGTCTTTGCTGTGGAAGAGTTTGCCAAGGATGCCCATATTAGAGAACTCCAGTAGCACCCATGGGTTGGACCTCATGGTGTTCACCTTCCAATGAATGTGGGTGATAAAGTTGGGGGCAGAAAAGACATTGTCCTCCAGTAACAGGAAGTATTCAGAGAGCCTTGTGGCAAAGCTCATGAGGAAGGCGTGATCTATATTCTGCTTAGAGTAGAATTCCCCATGATGGGCCTCGTTCCTCATGTCATCCACGGAGGGGTAGGCGTCAGGAGGAGCATGGATCAGTAGCAACTGCCCTGCCAAGATCTGTGGGCTGAAGAGGGTTGAAATATGGAGAACGGTTTCTCTGAGCCCGGTGAGGTCAGAATGTGCCAGGTGGACCAGCACTGTGAGACGTTTCTGCTCAATCTTAGAGGAAGCACGGAACAGAGAGACCAGTGTGTACAAGAGCCTTCTTTGATCTGGTTGTGGCACTGAGGAGATGCCCACTGTCAGCCATGCTAAGGAGAGGCCAAAGAGGGACAATTGTCAGTGTATACTGGGTTGGTGGTAAAGGTGCTCAGAGGGCTAGGGGTTGGGATGCTCTTTGGGACCTACTCTGTTTCTTTCTTTCCTCTCCTATTTCTATTCTATGCTCTCTTTTGGGGATGCTTAGATCGTTGCTACTCAGAATGTGGTCCTTAGTCCAGTAACATCAGTCTCATCTGGAAGCTTATTAGAAATGCAGAATCTGGGTTCCTAGATAAACAGAATCTGCATTTTAACAGTATCACCAAGAACTTAATATGCACGTTTAAGTTTGAGAAGCACTAAGCTAGGTGATACTGAGTCCCCGTGGGTCCCTTTGTGTCTTCTTTGAGCCAGAATTTTGTAGCACATGGTTTAGGTGCTCAGTAAGTATTAGCTAATATTACAGATATTATCATTCTTTTTGTTTTATCCAGTTCATCTTCCCAAAGCTCACCTTTAGGTGAAAGGAAAAGCAGTTCTTCATAAGTCAGGAACCCCAGGTTCCTGTCCCAGTTCTGCCACTGATTGTGTGACCTTGGGCAAGTCCCTTCACTCCTGAGCTTAGATCCTGATCCACAAAACTGAGGGATTTGGACTATGACTCTAAGGCCCCTTCTAACCCAAATGTTCTCTAATCCAACGATTCTGCCTTCCTATAACAATTATCTTTTCCTTCTTCTTCTTCATTCCTGATATATAAATGTCATGGTGGGGAGAGAATTGTCTGCCAGATTCAAATATTCCTGGGCACAGTCCTGCCTTTTCTCTCTCCCTTCTTTCTTTCCTTCCTAACTACCTCACTTCTCTTGATGTTCCTACTTTCCCTAGGATCCCCCATTCTCCTCCTTGGAACTCACTCTTTCTTCTCTGCTGAATTGTTTTAAAATATTCGAAGGTAAGATTGTGCCAGTCTTCTAGTGGTCTCGGGTCTTTCCTTTTGTCATAATTGTCCTCCTAGAGCATTGACAAAAGGCAAAACATGTACCTCCTTTCATAAAAAGAATAGGGTTTAGCCCCTAGAGGCTTCTCATAAGCTTTTCCAGGAAAGAGAGGGAATGGATCACCCTCCCCAGAGTGAACCCAGCACATTCTCAGGATGTCTGACCACTGGCCAAAGTGTGGAGGGCTCCAGCTCTATTTGCTCTCTTCCTTACCTTAACAAATATTGGGGGTGGGGGAGCAGCTTCTTTATGGACCGACGGGTCCAAGTTCATATCCCAACTCCCTTTGGAGCTTCCTGCTCTCAGGTGAAGGGTACAGGTGCTTTGAGAAACTACCTGTTCATACCATTCCCACGCTACATCCTCAATTCCCACACGGAGAGCAAGGGTTGCTACCTGGCCTTTGATAGCCATCATGTTTTGATCATCTTCAATTTCCTCGGGGATTTTCAAAGTGATGAAGAGCCACAGGAATCCGATGCCCACTGACGTTATGAAGCAGCGCCTGACAGAACACCGCATGGTGTCTGTAGGGTGTGGTTCCTGTAGCAAAAAGTCAACATGGACAGCAGCTGGGCACTCTCTCCATTTGTCCATGCCTAGAACTTCTTCGTCCTCTGGAAGCTTTCCCCCACACAATCCCCCATATTCTATCCTTCCTCCTCCTCATTGTTAACTTAATTCCAAAGCCTGCCTTTTTATCTGAGCTGGGAACCTGATGGAATATAATAGCCTTATTCCCTGACTAAAGAAAAAATGTCACCTGTCCTGCGAATTCTGCTGCCTTCTCTTTATAGGTTTGTTTGGAGATTCAACTTTCCCAAAGTTTTCCCTTCTCGAGATGAGGAAGGTCAGCAGGGGCTTCAGTGATGAGGCCCTTTAATCTTGGAAAACAGATGCTACCACCTACCCTTGCTATTTTAAAAAACAGTCAGTTTATTAAAATAGCTGAACTTGAAGTATTGCTAAATGCTAGGCAATTTGGTGACTTTCTTACCTTTTAATAAAGGATATCCTTAATTTATTCCCATCTTTATTTTTTTTTTTAAAGATTTTATTTATTTATTTGAGACAGAGAGAATGAGAGACAGAGAGCATGAGAGGGAGGAGGGTCAGAGGGAGAAGCAGACTCCCTGCCGAGCAGGGAGCCCGATGCGGGACTCGATCCCGGGACTCCAGGATCATGACCTGAGCCGAAGGCAGTCGCTTAACCGACTGAGCCACCCAGGCGCCCCTATTCCCATCTTTAATCTTACTCACATACCTTGATCATAATATGATTCTGTTAGAGTGAAAAAAGAATTCTTTTGTAAATTTTGGGCTTTGGACTTCAGGCCAATTCAGCCTCAAAAGCACTTGTCTACCGCTTTCTTCCTCTGTTTCAGTGTCTTTTCTCCAGTGAGAATGTGTTTCCCTGATTGTTTCTAAATGATCAGAGGAAAGGCTCTAATATGCCTCATCACCTGCTCTTGATTCTTTCCCTCTATGTTCAGTACACAAAAGAAAAGAAATGGTAGTCGGTAATTTCTGTGTTTCTGAGGCTGTAATATTCTCGAATCTCCCTGTTTTCTGGATCCTTGCCAGTGCAGGATTTCCACAGAGGTTAACGTGCTTCTCTCCCTTAACTATTTAGCTTTTTGGTAAGAGTTTAAGGGTAAAACTTATACATGGTAGGAAGGCTTCACAGAGTAAACTTTTCTTACCTGGTTTCCTTAAGCCAGGACTTCGAGTCACTTAGATGATTCAGATACAAACCACTTGATGTCAAAGAGATCGGCTTCTTTTCTCCAGAACGTAAATACAAGGATACATATCCGGATTAAAAGGCTTTCCAGTGACAGCTGACGGAGTTTATTGCCACAGCCACAGCTCCGTTCTCCTCTGCCCCTCCTGGGTCACTTACCAGTCACGGCCAGAGGACCGCCCTCTTGTAGCCCTCTGAGTTCCACAGACTTCTGGAAGAGGCAGGAGAGAGAGGAAGAGAGAGCTGGGGTGCGGGGACCAATCACTCCAGGCGCAATGACAGAGAGGGTGAGGCCAGCAAAGCAAGTCTTCTAGCTTTGAGCTAAGCCCCCTCTGTGATGTTACTCCTGTTCCCCCTCCACCTACTGCCCCACCATCAGGGCAGGTAGAGGACTTACTAGGGTGCAGGTGCGCGCTTCAGAACTGGGAGCTAGTATTCATTTCAAAGACCAGCATCGGCATCTTTTAAGAGAACAGAGATGCCAAGAACTATCAAACCTCCCTGCCGCCATGCCCTCCACTTCCCTGAACCTGAACACCATACGCCCCTCTTCCAGTGGTTGTGCCCTGACTCCCACCCCCTCTCACCGCGTCAGGTGCTTCACCCCTGCAACGACCCTCTTTCTCTTCTGCATTACTCTCTTTCTCCCTCTCTGCTGGACCATTCCCGACATCTTGACAAGGAGCTCCACTCCGTTCTGGTAGGAAAGAAGGCAAAAAGCAAAATCCTGCTCTAAATTCATGCTCTCTGAATCCTGCCCATTCCTTTGCAACCCTAACACAGCAAAACTCCTTGAAAGCCTTGCCTCTATTATGTTGCCCCACTTCGTGATGTTTTCTTTCCTCTTATTCAACCTCTCTGCAACTTTTTTTTTATATTTTATTTATTTATTTGACAGAGAGAGAGATAGTGAGAGCAGGAACACAAGCAGGGGAGTGGGAGAGGGAGAGGCAGGCCTCCTGTCGAGCAGGGAGCCCAATGTGGGGCTCGATCCCAGGATCCTGGGATCATGACCTGAGCCGAAGGCAGACGCTTAATGACTGAGCCACCCAGATGCCCCCTCTCTACAACTTCTGACATGGTTGACTACTGCCTCCTCCTCGAAACACTTTCTTCCCTGATATCATTCTTGCCACACTGATTGTTTTGTCTGTTTCCTTCCTGGCTCATCCTCTTCCCAACTTGTCAATGTTAGGAGTGTCCTAGGGCTCTGTCCTTGGCTCTCTTCTTCCTACCCGCTCTCCCTAGGTGTTCTTACCCAGTCCCATGGCTTTAAGTATGATATATTATATATGTATGTGTGTGTAACTATATACATATATACAGTACATGTATATATATTTATAGATGTGTACACATTATTCCATATCTACAGGCTTAAACATATATAAGCCTGTGGGTATATACATATATATACGCACACACTGATAACCCGGGGCTGATCTTATCTGCAGCTCTGACCCCTTGTTCTGAGCTCCAGATACCTGACTATTGAACATCTCCATTTGGATGAATAAGAGGTATCTCAGCTTTAACAGAGCCAAAACAGAACCACAGATTTGACGTACCTCTCCAATCTCTTCCTCCCCAAGTTTTCCCCATCTCAGTCAACAGTACCATCCTTTGCCCATTTACTCAGGGGAAGAATCGACAAGTCATCCTTGATGCGTCTCTCTTTAACACTCTACATTCAATCTAGTTAGTTGTGTTACCTTTTCCTTCAAAATGTATCCCCAGCATGACCTTTACTCACCCACCTCTATGGCTACAACATGAGTCTGGGCCACTGCAATGCCTGTCTGGACTATTGTAACCACCTTCTAATTGGCTCCTCACCTCCACCCCTGTTCTGCAGTCTATTCTCCATGTGGCAGAGAGACATTTTACTCATTTCTTTATTTTTTAAAGATTTACTTATTTTAGAGAGAGAGAGTGTGTGGTGGGTGGCAGGGAGAGAGGGAAAGGGAGAGAGAATCCCAAGCAGAGTCCCCGCTGAGCCGGGAGCCTGACTTAGGGCTTGATCCCACCACCCTGAGGTCATGACCTGAGCCGAAATCAAGAGTTGGACACTTACTGACTGAGCTACCCAAGCGCCCCCAGAGAGACCTTTTAAAATTGTAAATCAAATGCTATCCCTTCCTGGTCTACAGTTCTCCAAAGACTTGCTGTTGAAAGTAAGATGAAATCCAAACTCCAAAATCCAAACTCCGGACCATGGCCTACAAGATCCTGTCTGGTCTAGCCCTCTGCCTGCCTCTTTGACTGCATCTCCCCCTACCCACTGGCTTTTTTGCGGGGAGGGGTGTCATCCCTTGGATAGTCCAAGCTTTTTGTCTCCGTATACGGTACTCTTCTTCTTGGAGCTATTCTCTGTAGAATTTCAAAGAGCCGTCTTCTTCCCAACATTCAAATTTGAGCCCAGATGTTCTTCTTCCTGCCTCAGGTCACTTTGCCTACAGTACCTACTCACCACCCCTCCCACCCAACCTCCCATCACTCTATCGTGTGTTCTGTTTTCTTTAGCATTGATTTGTGCCAGAAGCCATCTTACCTGTAGGTGTTTATTGTCTGTCTCTATCCACTGGACTAAAGCATAAGCCCTTGAAGGGCAGGGACTTTGTTTTATTCAGTGCTATGTTTACAGTGCTTTGCCTGGTAGTTGGCCTGGAGAACATGCTCCACAAGTATTTATTAGCTCACTAATTATCAGGCATTGTGTGATAATGGTGAATGATCATGTATTTCTTCAATAAACACTGTGCTAGGTGCCAGGACTGTGCAGTATGCCAGAGAAGGGCAATGTATGGCTGATGGGTAAGAGCGCAGGTTCTGGACTCAGACAGCCTGGCAGAATCTGTTTCTGCTAAACTTATTGGCTGTGTAACCTTAGCTAAATGGCTCAGCCTCTCTGAACCCCAATTCCTCATCTAGAAAATGAAGATAATCCCGCCTATTCTTAAGAGTTCTTATGAGGATTTTAAGAAATCATTCACACAAAAATGCCTAGCACATAGCTAGCATTCAGTAAATGTTAGCTTGTTTATTATAAGGAACACCTACCGTTTTCAACCATGACTGTCATGTATTTATTTAGAGAGTGAGGAGAGGGCAGAGAGAATCCTAAGCAGGCTCCATCCATGCCCAGTGCAGAGCCCGAGGCGGGGCTTGATCTCACAACCGAGATCATGACCAGAGCCAAAATCAAGAGTTGGATGCTTAACCAACTGAGCCACCCAGGCGCCCCAACATGGTTGGTCTTCTTTTCCCTCACATTTGGGAGAGCCATCTTACTTTAATTCCTAAACCTTCACCCCAATTTTACTTTTAGATTCTTACACTGATGCACAGCACTTTGAGGACCTTTCCGTATCTTGTCATTTGATTTCCACTTTTCTGAGGGCTTTAGAGGAGGCAAAAAATGGAGGGGAGGGGGAAAATAAATATTGAAAAGCACTGACACCAGGTCCCTCATTAGCACTGCAGTTATGGGTAGGTCATCTATGACACTGACACCGTGCCTGCTGCCAAGGTATGTGCTGGGTGTGGGCTCGGCCTTGGCTGGAAGTCAGAGTTCTCTAAGCCTGGGAACGTGAACCTGACCCACAGGGTAGGGATGGGGCAGGAGCCCACCTCCATTCCAGCATTTCTCTCTGGGTGCCTCAGTGAGTGCTCCCTTGGCAACCTTTGTTCTTTCTGAAGGTCTGAAGTTCATCATTCCACTGGCATCTCCAGGGCAGGTGGCCCCGCACAGCACACAGTGATCACAAGCTCATTTGATTGGCCCACACACTGTTTTTTAAAAATCCGTTTGAAGATTAAATATTTATTTATTATTATTATTACTTTTTAAAGA